CAACACAGATGCTGCTGCAAGCAAATGCGCACATTCGCCCGCATGCGTCGTCGTGCGCGACACACCTGCTCGCGTTCATCTCTGCTGGGCTGCAGCAAATGCAGCACCTGCACGCCCTGGCCATGCTCTTGCATGGGTCACACACAGTCTCTATTGCATAGCATAGTTCCAGCACCACATTAACATGACGTAATGGAACCCCAGTCGTCGTATGGCACCTGTATGCCACATGTATCAGAATGGTGTTTGTCAAAGTGTTGCTTGTAACATCACATGATGCCCACCCTGCTCATTTCGCCGAGGTTGTGACCAGAGCCGAGTATTGATGTTGTGTTTTTACCAGCTAGCATCAAGGCGCTAATGATGTGACATGACGACAACAACAACACACAACGAAAGCACATCCCCACTCATCATCAGTAGCAGCATCATGAATGGAAAGGGAACACGAACCAAACACGTCGTGACATTCATGACACAGCACCAACTGAGGAGCAAGAAAACAAAACATTGAGAAAAGGTTGCGGAGGTGGTGTCATGTGAGGCGAGATGTTGGCGGTGAAGAGTGACAGCACAGCACAATACACCAGAGCAGGGTCACGCTTACGCTTGTAGTGGTTACTTTAGATACATCAACAAAGAACAAGGGTAGGACAAACAAGAAGCACTGGGAAGGGTAAGACGTTGAAAGAGAAGAAGACAAAAGGGGCTGCGCAAAGATGGCGTGGGGAGAGAAACAATGAAGCCGGTCCAAACACTGCACGAGACTGAAAAGCAAACCAAGAATCACGCATGGGGGGGGGTGGAGAAGCAGAAGAAATGGACAGGGGGACCAAACGATCCAGGAGGGGATGAAGAAGTGTATCGACGTGGCAGGGCAAAGCAACCCCTCTGATTTGACGACAACAACACCACAGTGATACGACCTGAGCCAAAGACCACAAAACAGCTGTAACTGCACTCCATCACTCAATCACTCACTCACGTACACAAATCACTCTGAGACACTCGTTCCCACGATCACATGCACGCAGTCACACGCCATTCACTTGGAGAATTCTGAGGACTGAGAGAGGGAGGGGGGATGGCAATGGGCATGTGCGCGACAACGAGGTACGAGGCACCACAAAGAAGCGGACGGGCTGACGGTTAGCACAGCGACGAGATCAAAGACATCAAGCGGAGGCAAGGGAATGAACAAGGGGCGCGGAGGAGGAAAGGCCGTGCGTGTTTTGGTGCGATGTGATGTTCATGCTGCCGCTGGCGCTGCCTGGTCGGCAACACCCGCCTCTTCGGCGCCCGCCTCCCGCACGGAATCAAAGAACTTGTGCGCCATCGCCTCGGTTGCCGTCAGTCGCTCCTGCAGCCACAAAGCAACAACACAGATCACAGGCAGGTGAGGCATCGCCGTGGCAAGGGGGAGGGGCGTCATTCCACATGTCACTACACACCACGCATTGAATCGTGACAGAATCGAGCGCAGCAAGGGCGCCGTACACGTGCGTACCTGGTGGTCGTAGCGAAGCAAGTTGTCGAGAAGATCAATGCCGTCGGGTGTCACCAAGTGCTTGTTCTCCGGGTTGACAAACCGCATCCAGTTCTTCGGTGCCGTGCGCACGCTGAACAAAGAGCGATAGCGAGCGTATGGTCAAGTGAGTGTGCGTGAGTGTGCGTGAGTGTGTGTTGGCGGGTGGAAACGTGGAACAAGAGAGGTGAGCTCATGGAGCAAGGAATGCATGGCATGAATCGTCAAGAGAGCACGCAAAGAGAGCGTACACAGTGTGCGTGCTTCATGCGTTGCTGCTTGCAAAACAGCGCATGGCTGCGCGAGGAAACAAGAGCGAGGAGAGACGCACTTTGGCAGGAGCTGGTGGTAGTGTTGGTCGAGCACAATCTTGTACTTCTCAATGTAAGCGTGCAAGTCGTCCGTCCCGAGCACCTTGGCAATCTTGATCAGCTGCACACGCACACGCACACACATGCGCACGCATACAAAACAGAAGGGGGGGGGAAGGGGGTTGTGAGTGGCGCTGCGGATGAAAGACAAGCAAGGCAAGGGCAAGGAAAAGGGAGGGTGATGTGCGTGCGTGTTGGGTCGTGTGTGCGGTTGGGTCGTTTGCGCCACGACATACCTGGTCGTAGTTGTCGTGGCCATGGAAGAAGGGCTCCTTGCGGAAAATCTGATTTGAAGCAGTGGGCCAAGGACCGCAGCGAGCGAGCACAACGGTGAGGGAAGGCGCAAAATCGAACACGCAGGTCGTCGATGTCAAAGTACATGCAAAACAAAGATCAAGCCGCAGCCAGGACAAGGGGATCGGAGCATGCAGACAACCAATGCATACACAAAATTCGAGCACGCAGATGACGCACCATGCTGGCCATGACGCAGCCGAAGCTCCAGAGATCCAACGAATAATCATACTCCTCAAAGTTGACAAGCAGTTCGGGGCCTGCATGCAGCAAGCAGCAGCAGCAGCAGCAGCGCAGCAGTAATTGGATTCGCAAAGGCAGGCGGTGCGATGAGAGTCGAGTCGAGTCGAGTCGAGTGGAGCAGTCTGAGAACACGTGCATATGTACAGAAACAAGGCACACGTGCATGTGTACAGAAACAAGGCACACAAATGCCACACAAACACACAGAGGTTCATTTACACAAGCAAACGCATACACATACACATACACACAAGCAAACAAGATGCGCACCTTTGAAGTATCTGGAAGCCACTCGCACGTTGTATTCACGGCCAGCGTGATAGAATTCGGCCAACCCCCAATCAATCAATCGAAGCTGTTAACATGGCACAGGAGCACAAGACAAGCGAAACCGTGCTGGCGTGAGCTCGTTGCGGTGTCAACGCACACACACACGTATACACATGCACAGACACAGACACGGACACACACGAAGACAGACACTGGCACACTCACAGACACAGACACACACACGCGCGCGCGCGCACACACACACACACACACACACACACACACACACACACTGGGACATGCAACGCAGCGCGCGGATCAGAGTCACCCAAGACTGAGACACGCACCTCCTTCTTCTCGTGATCAATCATAAAGTTGTGTGGCTTCACGTCGCGGTGCATGATGCCTTTGGAGTGGCAAAAGTCCAATGCCTTGAGCAGCTGGTACAAGTAGTAGCGGATGTCCTGCAGGGTGAAGCGTGGAAAGAGCACCTGCAAAAGCACAAGCAAGATCATGTCAATGGCGTTGTTAGTAAAGGGTGTGTGTGTGTGGTGTGGAAGGCAGTCGTCGCAACACACACCCAAGAAAAACCGCAAGCAAGAGCAACCTAAGCAGCATCAATCGTACTTTGAAGTCTGTGTTGTTGACGTGTTCGAAGATGAGAGCCGGCGTTTTCGACTGCAATTGTGTGTTCGTATGTGTGTATTCGTGATGAAGAGTGAGTACGCGGGGGGAAGCCTGTGTGCTCGGAAGTGCATACGGCGAGGGGAAGCTCAAGAGAGAGAGAGAGAGAGAGAGAGAGAGAGAGAGAGAGAGAGAGAGAGAGAGAGAGAGAGAGAGAGAGAGAGAGAGAGAGAGTGTGTGTGTGTGTGTGTGTGTGTGAGTGGGTGAGAGTCGACACGGTCGTGCCATGTACCTTGGGGTCCCGCACGACGTCGAGAAGGTTGATGACATTGACACCACCAGCGAGGTTTTGCAGAACCTTGATTTCACGCTTGATCTTCTTCTTCTTCACCGGCTGTTCGCATTGAAAGGAGAGAGAGAGAGAGAAAGTGTGTGTGTGTGTGTGTGTGTGTGTGTGTGTGTGTGTGTTGTGAGTACAAGGGTGTGAGTGAGTCCATGTGCGAGTTTGTGTGTGTTTCGAACAGAGCAGCGTACAGCCTTCCATGATGCTCGGGCAGGGCACGTACCTTGAGAACCTTGATGACAATGGTTTTGTTTGTTCTTGTGTCGATACCTTCAAACACTTCGCTGTACTTGCCACGGCCAAGCTTGCATGTGATTTGGTACGGCTCTGGGTTCCTGTGGGCCATCCACACGCAAATCAACAACAACAACAACAACAACAACAACAACAACAACAACAACAACAACAACAACAACAACAACAACAACAGCAGCAGCAGCAGCAGCAGCACACAACAACAACAACGTGTGCATGTGGAGAGTCGCGCGTGTGGTTAAAACACCAGAAGTGATGGAACAACAAACAAGGTCCTGTGCAGAGGGCAAGGGCAATGTTTGTCGACGCGTTTGTGGCACATATGTGTGTATGTGTGCATGTGCGTGCGTGTGCATGAGAGTGTGGGAAAACGCACCCCCATTGCAGCGCGAGGGCCTCGTAGTCCCAGTACTCGCGGGGTTTGTGCGCGTTCACGTCCGCGTACACCTTGGCAACGCTGCCGGACAGTTCCCTGCGCCTCCGCCTTGTGCCCATGGTGCTGTTTGATGAGAGAGAGAGAGAGAGAGAGCAATACAGACGAGAGGTGGCGCGAAAACACGTGGTTGGAGGTGAGGTGGCGCTATGTCGAGGGTGTGTGTGTGTCGATGTTTGTGTCGATGTATGTGGATGTATGTGCATGGATGTGTGTGGGTATGCTTCGCTCGGCCGCTTGTGCCAAGATCACGGGTGTGTGCCTGTAGCAAAGACTACCCAGGCATTCCGCAACGCTCGCCTCTCCCCCACACAGCCACGTGGCTGCACACTCCGAGGCAAGCAAGCTGCACCACCAGAGCATTGTGTGTGTGTGCGTGTGTATGTGTGTGTGTGTCGACCGCAGCGCGGCGAGCGGACAAAAGGCGCACCTGTGTTGTCGTGTTCAGGTGTGGTGGTGGTGGTGGTGGTGGGATGTCTGGCACCTGGGTGCTGGGTGCTGGGTGCTGGGGGGCTGGGCTCTGTGTGACAGCCTTCGACAAGCCGGAGCAGAGCAAGGAAGAAGCCCCAAAAGCTGCTGCAGATGAATGGAGAGCACTTTTGAGTGATTGTGCTGTGCGCTTGGATGTCCTCGTGTCCAACAAACACGCCAAGGCACAAGAGAGGAAAGAGAAGAAGAAGCAGCAGGTGGCACAGCCGCGCGCTCTGGGTTGTGATTGGCGAGTTTGATTATTTTTTTTTATTTTCTTGTTGCTTGCTGGCTCGCCCTCGCTTTGTGAGCTCGTGGGTGCAGAAAAATTGTGCATGTTATTAAAAATATCGCTAGAAAGACTCGGTGGTAAAGGCGGGATTTTTTTGCCATTTGCACCCGAATTTGCGCGACCGTAGTTTGCCAATTGCACTCGTCCCCAACCGACAAGGCACTACAAAGTGGTGGACGGAGATGTCGAGTCGCGGCTGGCAGGGCAGTGATGGTGGTCGTCGTGGCGGCGGTGGTGGCAGCGGCGGCAGCGGCGGCAGGGCGAGGCGTGGGGACGCCAGACGCCAGGCGTCAAAGCAGCAGCGTGCACTGCGACCACAGATGATCTGCTCTCTGCCCAGGTTCGTTCGTTTGCCTTGGGAGGAATTGAGGTGGTGGTGGTGGTAGGAAGGTGGTGTGAGGAGAGAGTGTGTGTTTGTGGTGGTGATGGTTGCAGGGGTCGTTCGCAAGCAGCTCTATCACACACACACACGGCCGAATGAAGCAACGCATGAGTAAATGAAGTCACACCACACACACACACACATACACACACACTCACTCACTCACACACACATACTCCCACACACATACTCCCACACACATACTCACATACACACAGGTATGACTTGCAGAACACACCGTCGCGGGCACATGGTGTTTCGGAAGAACTGGAAACACGCCTGCGCGTCGCTGGCTGCGAAATCATCCAGAGCGCAGGCATCCTCCTCAATTGCAACCAGGTGGGCACGCCCACGTGTGTGTGTGAGAGTGAGACAGACAGACAGACAGACAGACAGACAGACAGACAGACAGAGAGAGAGAGAGAGAGAGAGAGAGAGAGAGAGAGAGAGAGAGAGAGAGAGAGAGAGAGAGAGAGAGAGAGAGAGAGAGAGAGAGAGAGAGAGAGAGAGAGAGAGAGAGAGAGAGAGAGAGAGAGAGAGAGAGAGAGAGAGAGAGAGAGAGAGAGAGAGAGAGAGAGAGAGAGAGAGAGAGAGGATCCTAATGCACAGTGCTGCGTGCGAAACCACAGCCCCTGGTTCTGTCCTGCTTGGTTCCTGTGAACAGTGACTCATCAACTACACATACATACACACATGCACACCTTGCGGCTGTTGGTAAGCAGGTGGTGATGGCGTGTGCGCAAATCCTGTACCAGCGGTTCTACTATCGACAGTCATTTGCCACGCAACGCTTTGAGGTGTGCACCATCCAGCACAGCAGCACCCAACTGCCACACACACACACACACACACACACACACACACACACGCACACACACAACAACAACAACAACAACAACAACAACAACAACAACAACAGCAACAACAACAACAAAACAACGAAATGAAAGCCTGTCGCTGCTGTTGTTGGTGCTGGTGGTACTGGTGCTGTTGCTCGCTTCTTTTTGCTCGCTTGCCGTTGTCTCACACTTCCACGCTTCTCTTCCCCTGCCCTGCCCTCGTATAGGTGACAGCCATGGGCTGCTTGTTTTTGGCAAGCAAGGTGGAGGAAGAACAGCAACGCTTGCGTATCCTCATGAACGTGTGTCGACATGTTCTCTTCACCATGTCAAAGTACGTTGCTTTAAGACCCCAAGTGGAACCCAGCAACCACAAAGGGCCCCCTGTGCGTGTATGTAGGTGTGTATGTGTGCGTGCGTGCGTGCGTGTGCGTGCGTGCGTGCGTGCGTGCGTGTAGGTGTGTGTGTATGTGTGGGTGTGAGTGCGCTTTGTGTGTGTGTGTGTATGTGTGGGTGTGAGTGCGCTTTGTGTGTGTGTGTGTGTGTGTGTGTGTGTGTGTGTGTGTGTGTGTGTGTGTGTGTGTGTGTGTGTGTGTGTGTGTGTGTGTGGTTTGGTGGTTGCCGAACACGTCACCCGTGGGCAATGTGTCGAATGTGGTCAACGTATTGACGTGCACGGCCGCTCACTTGCAGGAATTACGAACCAGGGCAGCTGGTGGAGCCCTTGGAGCTTGGCGGAGACGCGTACCACAACCTCAAGCACCGCGTTATCAAGGCAGAGCGCCTTGTGCTCAAAGAGCTCGGGTTCTGCGTTCACCTGGACCACCCACACAAGGTGCGCCACATGGCGGCGTGTTTCCATTTCCATTTTGTCAAACCGTATTGTTTGTGTCAATGTCGTGCTGGTCACGGCAACGTTTGTGCGTGCGTGCGTGTGCGTGTTTGACATGCTGTCGCTGCGCGCTGCCTTCCAATCTGCTCACGTGGTCATGTGCGAGATTGTAATTTGGGGGCGCAGTTGATTATCAGTATGCAGAGCGTGTTATCGCTGGAGGACAACGAGGTGAGGCTTGGATCCTCTGCAAATTGAGTGTGTCTCCGCATTTGCTCCTGTGTGGGCTTTGGTGCACAACGTTGTGCGTGTGTGTGTGCGTGTGTGCGTGTGTGTGCGAGTATGCGCGTGCGCATTCCATTCCATTCCACCTGTCTTCCTCCTACTCCTCCTCCACACCACCACCTCCTCCTTCTTTTCCTCCTCTTTTCCCTTCTCCTTTTATTTTCCCTCCCAAGCTTTTGAATACACCACGCTGGTGGCATTTTGATCCCACACCAATGTGGCTTCATACAAAAGCGAAACAAACGTCTTGGGCACCACTTTGTCGGTAGCCATCTCCGTTTAATTGCCTATGGAATTGGCTATTGTATTCGTGCCTTACACTCCTCCTTTATTCACCTCTGTTTGTTTGTTTTGTTTTGTTTTGTTTTGTTTTGTTTTGTTTTGTTTTGTTTTGTTTGTTTTGTTTTGTTTTGTTTTGTTGCATGTGTGTATTCATGTGCGCTCGTGTCTGTTTTCTCCCCCCCCTCTCTTTAACACACACACACCATCTCTCTCTATCTCTCTATCTCTCTCTCCCTCCCTTCACAACCATCCTCTCATGCTGATCGATTGGTGCATTCTTTCTCCCCACCTCCAACACACACACGCATATCACACACCATCACCACCACCATCCTCACCATCTGCGCCAACGTTTCCATATCGCAGGCGCTTGCACAACGCGCATGGAACTACATGAACGACGGCCTGCGCACGACCGTGTTTGTGCGGTACACCACGGCCACCATCGCCTGCGCGTGCCTGGATCTCGCCTGCACGGACGTAGGCATTTCTCTGCCAGACCAGTGGTACGAGCTTTTTGACGCCAGCGAATCCCACGTCGCACATGCCCGGTACGCCCCGCCAACAGTCTGCGGTACTTTTTACACGTGCGCACGTGCATGCGGGTGTGCGGGTGTGCGTGTGTGCGTGTGTGTGTGTGTCCGCGGCAGGGGGGGGGGGATTATCTGCTCGCGTGCTGCTTTGTCATATGTGCAGTTTCCAAACAATGCAACAATCTGCCCCAAATAAGGGAGGATCATGCAATCTGGCACTCGGCACACGATCCTCACAATCACACAATCACACATACATGCCAGAAACACGATTCGCGCGCTGTATCAAATGGGCCCGGTGGTGCTGGATGATATTGTTTCTTCCATCTCCAACGTCGCTGATGCATGTGGCTCATCTGCGTATCGCCGCATGCCGGCTTTGCAGGTGTGACCGTGAAACTGTTGTTTGCTGCACTCCTGTACACACACACACACACACACACACACACACACACACACACACACACACACACACACACGACGCGCGCGCACACACACACGCACACACACACATTCACGCACACTCTCATCTCCTCCCCCTCCCTTCAACCAAACTCGGTCACTTGGCGGACCTGCAGCTGCGAGCCGTCGGCGACACGTCGTCCGTCTCTACCGGTGCAAGCGTTTCTCGCCGTGGGTCGCCAGCCACGGGCACGCCCTCTGCAACGCACACCACCCCAGACCTGACACCAGCAACATCAGACACAGCCACGGCTGCAGCCACAGCGACAAGAGCGGGCGCGTCTGAGTCTGCCAGCGCACCTGTGTCTAGTGCACGCCCTGCGTTGATCACCCAGCCGCCGATGGCGCCGCCCCAGCCTGGTCTCATGGGGTTTGCACCAGCGCCATCGATGGGTGCGCCTGCCGCACCTGCCGCGCCTGCCGCACCTGCCGCTTTTGGCGGCCCCATCAACACTGCTCCGCCCAGCAGGCTACGCGTCGCACGCGGCCCGCCCCCTTCCTCCTCCTCACAACAACAGCAGCAACAGCACGCGGCGCACTCACGACCATCCTCATTAGATCGGGAGCGCGACAGGTTACGAGACGCGGAAAGAAGACGTGGAGGAGAAGAGGACCGCTACCGTGATGACTACAGAAGCAGAAGCAGACACGACCGCCGTCGTGGAGCAGGCCGTCGCTGAAACAGCTCACATTGATGCCGACAAGGAGTGGAGGAGTTGGAGGATGAGGGTGGCAGCAGCATCAGCCATCATGTCATGTGCTTCTCCTTTCTGCTCTGCCTCACTGCTGGTTTGTGTGCATCTTCTGTTAATTTTCCACGTGTGTAAATGAATACAGGATACGCCAGATAGCTTTTACACCCGTGTACATTGACACCTATGTATATTTTCCAACAGTTTTACACGACACTGCCACACACACACACACACACCGCTCACTCACACCCAGCGCAAGCAACCCAGAGATAGACGGGGGTGGCCGAGCTCGTTTCTGACAAAGACAGCCACCCAGCACACACACACACACACACACACAAGCCATGTCGAGGGCACCGAAGCTCCCCAGCTTCATCGCCAGCCATTTGCAGGGCGCAAACGTGCCCCCTGGCGCAAGCAAGGAGTTTTGTAACCTGATCAAGGCGATTGGCGAGAGTGGAACCAACCATGTACGTGTCATGCCAATGGCTGCGAGAGAGCCGATGTGGGGCCAACAACGCATGGGCGCTCACGCAAAAGCACACACACACACACACACACACACACACACACACACACACACACACACACACACACACACACACACATACTCACGTTCGTCCTATGTTGTTTGCACGAAAATGGTAGGAAGAGACACGCATCATCGCCAAGGAGGCAAAAGTGTTGGAAGAGCGACTGCGCCAACCCAACATCACAAAGGTGTGTGTGTGTGTATGTGCGTGTTTGTGCGACCATCACTGCACTTCTCCTTGCGCATGCTGTTGTGCGCTTGTTTCAAACGCTGCCTCGGCTCGTGTGGTGCACGCAACCACGCTGCACCTGCTGTCTCTCTTCTCATCAAAGCCACCACCACCACTGCTCACACTGGTCACACGCTTCCTCGCCCACACCATACAACACACACACACTCAACACACACACGCAGAAACAAATGAAAGAGTACCTGATTCGTTTGTTGTACTGCGAGATGTTGGGGAAGGAGGTTTCGTTCGGATACATCCACGCCGTGAAATTCACCCAGCACTCCTCCCTCCTGGAGAAGCGCGTGGGCTACCTGGCCGTGAGCTTGCTTCTTCACGAGGACCACGAGCTCATCTACCTCCTCGTCAACACCATCCAACGCGATCTCCAGTCCACCAACATTGTCGAAATCTGCATGGCTCTTACCGTGGTACGTACAACCCCCCGTGTGCTGTGTCCAGTGGCTGTGGCTGTTTGGTGTCTGTTCACGCTTTTGAACGTTGTGTTTGGCTCCATATCTCGTCTCAACTCACATACACGCACACACACACACACTCTCTCTCTCTCTCGACCCTCTCTCTACCATCTCTCTGTCTCTCTCACCACACGTCATGCAGGTGTGCAAGCTGATCAACGCAGAAATGATCCCAGCTGTCCTGCAATACGTTGTGCCAGCGCTCGGCCACTCCCGTGAGATTGTCAGGAAGAAGGCTGTCCTCGCACTGCACCGCTTCTACCAACGTTCCCCAAGCAGCATCACACACCTCATGCCAAAGATTCGCCGCGCCCTCTACGACCAGGTACACATGACGATGCCTGTCTGCCCGTTGTACACTCAACAGACCCCTGAATTAGCACCTGTTGTTGTTCAGGCACGACTCTTGCTGCCCTCGACCTCGGTTTCTATTCTCCTCTCTTGTTCTTGCATCTTCTGCCGTCTCTCTCTTCTTCTTCTTCTTCTTCTTCTTCTTCTCGCATCCCCTCCCCTCTCTTCCCTGCCCCACTTCTCTCGCCTCCCATTTTATCCTTTCCTTTCCTTCCCTTTCTTCCTTTCTTCCTTTTTTCCTTTCCTTCCTCCGCACGTATGTGTCAGGCCTGCTCCCAATCGTGTTTTCGCATGGGAAAAAGGTTTTTGGAACTGCGGACAGACCAAACCCCCATTGACTTGGTGGTGGCTCGGTGGCGCTGGCGCTTGCTCGTGTGTTTCTTTTGGCACACCAGCTCGTGGGCTGACCGGTACCTTTTTTCCTCTGGTCATGCCCTTGCCACCGCGTGCGAGCTACACCCGCGCATTTCTCTCCCCCTCCCTTCCTGCTTCCTCTTCCCCCCTTTTCCTTTGCGTCACCCTGCACCCGTGCTTCATAATTTGCCGCCTTCGCACAACCTCACTCAACTCCCCCCTTTCCACTTGCGCAAACACAAATCACGCGCGACAACTTGCGTGCAATCTGAAGGATCCTGGTGTGATGGCAGCATCGCTCAACCTGTTTTACGACATGATTGTGGACGACGCCAGCAAGAACAAGGACCTCGTCCCCAGTTTTGTGTCTGTCCTGAAGCAGGTCGTTGAGCACCGGCTGCCCAAGGACTTTGACTATCACAAAGTGCCTGCGCCTTGGATGCAGATCAAGCTTCTCAAGATCCTGGCCCTGCTTGGCAAGGACGACCGCGCTGCCTCCGAGTCCATGTACGAGGTGCTTCGCGATTGTCTCCGCCGCGCAGACATCCAGAGCAGCGCCGCATACGGTCAGTCAGTGGCCCTTTCCGCTGTTGCTCCTGTTTGTTCGTTGTTGTTGTTGTTGTTGTTGTTGTTGTTGTTTGTGTCATGGACAATACAAGTACACTGACTTGTGGTCACCACAATCACGATGTTGGCATTGTGTATGATTGTCCCCTGTCCCTCCCCTCCCCCTCCCTTCCCATCTCCCCTTCTCCCTGTCACTCACAACTCCTCATTGTCGTTGCGTGTTTGATTTACAGCTGTGCTATACCAGTGTGTGCTAACATGCACCCAGATTTACCCAAGCTCACAGCTGGTTGAGCTGGCTGCAAAGAGTGTTGGCCGCTTCCTGCGCACGGACAACAACAACCTCAAGTACCTCGGCATCACCGCGCTGGCCTCTGTTGTTTCCGTAAGTTCGAGGTGTCAGCCTGTCGTCGTTTTGTCATGATAACGACCACGATGTTATGTTTTCGGGGGTGCCTTGACACGGTTGCTGCACCTGACGTTTGTGGCGTGTGCCCTTGCAGTTCTCATTATCCATGTGTATATGTCCCTCACCCTTGTTCGTCTGTCTTGACTTGGCACCCACTCAAAAACGCCCCCCCCCACACACACACACACTCTCTCTCTCTCTCCCTCTCCTTGCAGGTGAACCCGTCGTATGCGTCACCACACAAGGCGCTTGTGATTGAGTGCCTGGATGATCCCGACGAGACCCTGAAGCGGAAAACGCTCGATCTCCTCTGCAAGATGACAAACCCTGCAAACGTCAAAGTCATTGTCGAAAAGCTCCTTGGGTACGTACATTGCTTCTTCCCCCTAGCAAGCACCTCGCTTCCTTTCTCCGCACAGAAGCTGGCTTCACATCTTACCTTCCTCCCTTTTTCTCTTCTCTCGACTGCACAACACAGCTTTCCTTCTTCTTCTGCCTCTCTCTCTCTCCCTCTCCCCCGTATACCAATGTCACACACGGCGTCTCATCGAAGCTTCAAAGCCATTTCAGTTGTCTCGTGGGCTTTGTTGTCAACAGTTTTTCAACGCCAACACCAAAAGCACGATTAATGGTCGCTGGTTGTCCTTTTTTCATCAGTAACACCCGTGGTTAACTAGCATTACCCAACGTGCGAACACGTGTATGGTTCTCTTCCTCTTCTTCCCCCGTGTTTTCTTCTCTGTTCATCTCTCTCGTTCTGTCATGCACGCACGCACTCTCACGCGCTTTCTTTTCCTGGTGGTTGTCGTTGGTGTCATCTCCCCATTCGTGTTATCCCGACTTCCCCATTCACCAACGTGTTTTTTCCTCCTCATAGGTATCTGAAATCCACGGTGGACACATACCTCCGCAAGGATCTCGTCCCGCGCATCATCGAGCTGGCGGAGCGCTATGCACCAGACAATGTCTGGTATGTCGAGGTACGTACACACACATCATGTAGCATTTTGGTGTACTTGGTCATGTCATGCCATCCGTTTCGTCCTCGAACACTGTCATCACCCTTTCACACACACACACACACACTCACGCGCACACACGCGCACACGCACACACGCACTCAAACTCAACTCACACACACGCACACGCACGCACACTCGCCCGTTCATCTTTTTTGCCTCACATCTGCATTGTTGTTCTGAACAACAACCCCACCACCACTACCACTACCACCACCACCACCACGACGCAGACGATCAACACGCTGTTCCAGACTGCCGGTGACTTGGTGCATGACCGCATTGCGCACAACCTGATGCGGCTGATCGCGGAGGGCACAGAGGACGATGAGCTGGATGCTGAGCTGCGCGTGTTTGCCACGGAGAGCTACATTGAGCTGCTTGAAGAGCCCTCTTTGCCCGACGTCCTTGTGCAGACCATGGCGTGGGTCGTCGGCGAGTACGCGTATTTGGCTGAGGACTATGACCAGGAGATTGTGCTGCAGCTCGTCTGTGACCTGCTCAACCGCACGTACGATGACGAGGCCACCACCAAAGGCTGGATCATCACCGCCATTGCCAAGCTCGTTGCCCAGACGGGTCTGTTTCCCAACGCCGTGCGCGACCAGCTGCAAGTTTGGCTGTCCAGCGTGTCCAGTGACATCCAGCAGCGCTGCGCCGAGGTGCTCGCGCTGGTGCAGAACGGAAGCCTCATGCGCGAGGTGCTGCCCATTGACGCCAGCTGTGAGGACATTGAGGTTGACGAGGACTTGTCCTTCCTCGACTCGGTCGTCCAGACCGCGCTGCAGAACGGCGCCCGTCCCTATGAGGCGCACGACATCAACATTCGCAAGGAGCAGCCCGCCCACACCACAGAGAGCACCAACGTGGCGTCCACCTTCAACTTTGAGCCGTACGAGGCGCCGCAAGACCCGGACCAGGCATCCTCGTCTGCGGCCTTCAACCAGTCCATCTTCTCCAACGCGCAAGCTGATCCGGTGTTGTCGCAGCTGCCCAGCCACCGCGGCGCAGGCGATGCCTCCAGCACAGGCACGGGCAGAACAACCCCCACGGATGCGTCATCCACAGCTGCCAAGCCCTCGGCTGCCTCAGCACTGCAGGTCAAGGCCCGAAGATGGGGGCGTGGTGGTGATTTGGTCAAGAAACAACAGCAGCAGGCGGCCCAGGAGCAACCATCGACCACAGAGGCAGCCGAAGGCGCCAGCCACCAGCAGCAACAACAACAACAGGAAGACCAGCAGCAACAGCAGCGACAAGAGGAAGAGGATCGGCGACGCCGCGAGGAGGAGGCAGCAGCCAAGCGCCAGGCCCAGCAGCGTGCTGCGTCACGACCCATGGACGAGGAGAAGCGGCAACTGGCGGACTCCATCTTCGTCTCTGCAGACAATGCACCCGTGTCGCCGCGCACCGCAAGGAGGTCGAGGGCGAAGAAAAGCCGGGCCGCGCGTGGCGCCAGGAGACGTGATGGCGGTGCCAGCACGGCAGCCAGGTCGGCAGCTCCCGTAGGCGACCTCCTGTCATTGGATGATGAGCCACAGCAGCAGCAGCAGCAGCCATCTGCTGGTGATGACTTGATGGGGTTGGATCTTTTGGGTGATTCCCAACCCGCAGTCACGTCGACAACCACAGCGTCCCATGCCCAACAGCAGGACGCAGCCGGCGACCTGCTCGGCGACTTTTTTGGGTCATCAACAACAACAACTGCGCCCAGTGCCACCACGAGCTCGTCGCCTCCCCCGCCATCATACGACAACTTCATGTCCAGCAGCTTGCCTGTTTCTAACGCTCAAGAGCAGCAGCAGCAGCAGACATCCGGCCAGGATTTGTTGGGCGGGCTGGATGATGATTTTGGCCTGGGCGGCCTGAGCATGTCCTCCTCCTCATCCCAGCAGCAACAGCCACAGTACGCCAGCTCGAGCACCAACGGTGGTGGCGGCGGCATGGATCTGCTGTCCCTTGGCGGATTTGGCGAGTCATCGACCGATTCGACTGGTGGCGGTGATGGAGGCCTGCTCATGCCGAGCAACTCGGCAGAGGCCACGACCAGCGCATCCACGGCGGGCGGCGATGGTGCCGAGGACGGCATTCCCGGCACGCTGCTGGTGAAGGACGACAACTTTGTTGTGTCGTACGTGAAGGAGCAGGCCGATGACTGCGTGCACGTGGATGTGCATGTGAAGAACATGACGAGCCACGTGTCGTCGGGGCTTGTGACGAAGCTCGACGGCTCACGCGGGCTCGACCGTGTTGACGCACACAAGTTGGAGACCAAGTTTGGCATGAAGACGAGCGCCGGCGGCAGCGCCACTCAGCGTACGTCGTGGATTGCAGCGAGCATTAGTGCTGGCATGTCCATCCAGGGGCAGACGACGTATCTGCAAGGCGGTGCGACGCGCACGCTGCGCTTCAAGATTCCGCTGAGTCCGCCCGACTTTTTGCGCCCATTGTCGCTCAGCACGGAGGAGTTTGGTGCCATGTGGCAGTCGCAGTGCACGGCCGAGCGTGCGCAGATGATTACGTCCTCCCCTGTGACAACGGTGGACGACCTCTCGTCGAGTGCGCTTGAGACACTGCACCTCTCGACTGTTGCCATCATTGGTGCCGAAGTCATTATGGCCGGACAGGTTTGTTGCTGTTGATTGGTTGTTGTTCTTGTTGCTGCTGTTGCTGTTGTTGTTCTTGCTGCTGCTTTCTTTGTCGCCATACCCCTCAGCTATCTCACATCTGCACTTGCCTCCTTCCCCCGTCTCCCACCCCCAAACAATCTCCATCGCTTTGCTTCTTGCAGCTGCTTAACAATTCGGACCGCGTGTGCCTGATTCACTGGCGTGTCGACGCACCTACGCTGCATGCTGCCGTTCGCACCAAGTCCATGCCATTTACGGAGGCTGTGCTGCAAGTGGTTGTGTCATCCTTCCGGTCGTGATACCGGTGTTGGGTGGTCATTGACTGCGTCGTCGGACTCGCTCGACTGCAAGCGTCTCGCTGGCCCCATCATGGCTGTGTCAGTGTCAAGTTAGGAAAGATGATGTGCTGTTTGTCGGCTTACATGTGACGCGTGGTGTCTCCTCTCCTTCCCCCCCCCTTCCTCCTTTCCTCCTTTCCCCCCTCGTTATTCTCCTTGTTCTTTTCTGTTCCCTTGCCCCTGTCCTGCGTTCCTTAGTGTCGCCATGTTCATACCCCCCCCCCCTCTCTCTCTCTCCCTCCTCGCTCAGCACACGCGCGTGCTGTGAGTGGTTCGTCTCAAACCACCTTCCTCCCTCTACCTTCCAATGGCCGTTGCTTGTTTCTTTGCAACAACGACAAGCAACCTGGTCGTTCTTATTTGCCTGTGTTGTTTACTCGTGTATCTGGGCTGTTGGCTGCAGCCGTTAGTTACCCCCTCTCGCCCTTGCAACGCGTGCTGGCTGATGAAAGAACCAAACGACAAAAACACCAATGCAGCAATAGGTGACGCCAGCGCAGTGCAATAACGGTCACGGCAACCGGCAGCTTGCAGCTGAGCAAAGTGTTCAACAGCAACCCCAGCACAGGCAAAGAGCAGCGGGTGAAGTCTGGGGCACACAAAACAACACGACGCACATGGCGATGAACAAGCCATGCGTCGTGTCTTGCTAATGATCTGGGGCCGATGAAGAGGGTATGTGTTGCTTGCGACCAGCGGACGATGCAGAAGTACGTTTGTGGCCGCTGCGAAGTTGGCGCGAGCTTGTGGCGCTGCTGTGGGCGTCCGTGGCTCGCGCAGCGGACCGTGTGCTCCTCCTTGGTCGGCCTCTTCCAGTTGAAGAAGATGACGAAGAAGAAGAAGAACAAGTCTTGGGGTTCTTTCTGGACGGGCTGCGCCTCCCGCCTTCATCCCCGTCACGCACGCCAGCGTCTTGTCCCTGCTCTCGTTCTTTTTCCTTGCCTGCCTTCTCCCCTTTCCCTTTTCCTTTCCCTTCTTCGTGTTGTCTGCCCTCTGCTGGTTGTTGGGCGTGTCCTCTACGAGCGCGTGTGCCGCTGGCGTTTTGTTTCGGTTGCAGTGCATCCTCTTGTTTGTGCTGGTTGCGCTCCTCCTTCTTTTGTCTGCGCTGGATGCGTTTGAAGGCGCGGATGAGATGTTCTTCTTCCCGAAGAGCCTGAGCACGCTGGGCCAGGAGCTCGGTGTATCTTGCCTGCAGGTTGTCCAGCAGCTCTTGCTGCACACTGCACAGTGACTGTGCGTTCTCAATCACCCCCGTGTAAAACCGCTTGAGCGCCTCTGTCTCATGCTCCAACAGCACACTGTGGTCACCGATGTGGCTGTTGCTGTTGCTGCTGCTCTTGGTGTTACTACTTCTGTCGCTGCCATTGCCGTTCACTGTGGCTGCAGCCGCGGTGCTCTCGCTCGCTTGCTTGGTGCTCGCACGCGCCACACTGCGCGCGCTCACCCGCGCCTTTGTGTTTCTTGGCCGCCCGCTCATCCGCGGCTTTGATGATGGTGGCGGGTTTGGAATAATGGTACAAGACATACATAAAACCGCCGCCACCCCAACGACCACAACAACAACAAGCACCAAACATCGAAGAAGGTGAAGGGAGACGGGGAACAAGAACAAGGCAGACAGACAAGCAAGCAAGCAAGCAAGCAAGCAAGCACTGGGTAGGCAGTGGTGGCAGCTGAGCGGCCTGTCAAAAAGCAAGCAGCCTGTCCCAAGCAAGCGACTTGTCACAAGCAAGTGGCCTGACAATAGCGGCGGCGTGGTAGCACACAACAAGGAGAAACAAAGACCAACAAGACAGCAGCAACAACACCACATGGGGTGATGATGACGCTGCGGAACGGTGCATACTCGCAACGCTATGCGAGGATTGAGCACCAGCGTGAACAGGAGCATGCAGCTACTGAGCGACAGACGGAGGATGAACAGCAGCATCGACTCAAAGAAATGCAACAAGCATCGAAGCGCAGATGGAAGTGCGTCCTCAATGCGCTTGCGTCTGTGTGTGTGTGTGTGTGCGTCTGTGTGTGTGTGTGCGTCTCTGTGTGTGTGCGTCTGTGTCTGGATGTGTCTGTCTGTCTGGATGTGTGTGTGTGTGTGTGTGTGTGTGTGTGTGTGTGTGTGTGTGTGTGTGTGTGTACGTTTGCTGCTGGCACGCTTGCTGTTGGCACGCTTGCTGGTGTGCACGTGTTAGTGCTGTTGCCTGCTGTCAATGTGAGCACGTGTCCAAGGTAACCGCCGACAGCAAGCACTGTTTACATTACAGACCCCCCTCTCTCTCTCTTGCTGGCACACTCACCGACATCCACCCCATACACACACACACACACACACACACACACACACACACACACACACACACACACACACACACACACACACACACACACACACGTCTTCCCCTGCAGGAAGATGCAGGAGAAACGGGCGCGGTTGAAGCGGGAAGAGGAAGAGCGAAGAGAGCGCGTGCTCGCTGAGCGCAAGTCCAAGCTGCGCCAGCACATCAGTGCACTGCACGAGACCACCCGTGGAAGGCGGTCGGCTGCGTCATCGCGACCTCGGTCACGCAGCGGATCAGTCCGCAGCATGGGCAGCCGCACAAGGCCAGACAGCGCGGCGTCAACCCGCTCCAAGAAAGCCGGGCCATCGCAAGCCGACGCTATCTTGGCCCAGGCCCTCAAGGCCGTGCGCCAGTACCAAGAGCAACAGCACCAGCACCAGCTGCGCGACTATATTCAAAACCCAGCAGTGGTGCATCACCAACACCAACAGCCTTCAAGACACGATGATCACTACCAGCACCCAGCTCGCAGTCACCACAACCCCGCACGCGACCAGCATTCGCCACCCTCACACACATCAGCGACAACAACAGCAGGAGCAACAGCGGCACACGCAGCTCACCACCACCACCACCACCAACAACAACAACAACAACAACAACAACAACAACAACAACAACAACAACAACAACAACAACAACAACAACAACAACAACAACAACAACAACAACAACAACAACAACAACAACAGCAGCAGCAGCACCAGCAGCACCAGCATCAGCACCAGCACCAGCAGCATCAGCAGCATCAGCACCAGCACCAGCACCAGCACCAGCACCAGCAGCACCGGCCATCACCGCGCGTCCAGTTTGCCAGCGCATCACCGCCTCCACACGACACGGATGGCAGATGGGGCAACTCTGCAGTTGAGGAGCGGGGTGGTTACGCACACGTGCCGAACCACACAACACCGCAACATGGAAAGAGCGATCAGAGTGATCTGGGCTATCACTACCACACCAAACAACGCCAAGATCCCCACCAACAACATCAGCAGCAGCAGCAACAGCAGCAGCAACAGCATGAACGCGATGTTGCTGGTGGTGGGGCCGCCCACTTGTATTCGCGTCACCATGACAATGACGATGATGGCGGTGGCGCCTGCACGGACGACAGTCTGGACGACGGGGAGGTGTCTGATGGCGGGGAGGACGCGTTCTGGCTTGACCACGATGAACAAGTACATGGCACACACGCAGTTGCCACTCGTCAGCCGCACCACCAGCACCACCAACATCAGCAGCATCATGACAGTGTGCAACGAGAACACGATTTCCAACCATCGCGTGTACCCCACCCACCGCCACAACAAGCGCAGCAGCCACGCCCAAGCTCACGCTCGCAGTCGCAGTCGCAGCTGCAGCTGCACACGCGCTTTCGCCGCGTGCCACCGCCCGTGATGATGCGCAGGGAGTCAAAGCCGTTCCACGACCGCATGCGACGCAGTGAACACAACATGGTGGGCGATGAAGACCGGAGCAGCGACAACGACCACCACCATCACACCCAGCGTCACCAACAGGCGTGGGACGATGAGAGTGGTGTGGCACATATGCACAGGGCTGGCAGTCACATCCCGGGCCCGTACAAACCCGCGCGCATTGGGCCATCGACATTTGTAGACGAAACAGCAAATGGCCCTGCACGACGGCGCGGAAGTGGAAGCGTGCGCTTCTTGGACCGTGACGGTTGTGATGATCGTGGCGATGCTGGTGCTGGTGATGAGCGCAATGATCGTGGTGGTGGTGGTGGTGGTGGTGATGATGACGAGGAGGCTGGCGGAGGAAGTGGTGGGGGAGGTCGAAGGCAACGGGCTGTGCGTCACCACCAGCTCCAGCAGCAGAAGCAACACGTGTACCATTACCCACAGCACCCGACCTCACACACAACCAAGAGCTCAGAGCAGCAGCAACAGCAACAACGAGTGCCGCAGCAACAATCCCACCCACATCCGCAGCAGCAGCAACAATCCCACCCACATCCACAACATCCACATCCGCAACATCCACTGCAGCAGCAGCAGCAGCAGCAGCAGCAGCAAAGACACGGTGCGGGGAACGAGGCGACAGTTGTGCAATACAAGATGCCACACCGCCGCGGCCACGAGCCAACAGCAGCGGCGCGCGACAGGTGGCAAGGCAGGCGGCTGCACCTCAAGACGGCTAGTGGTGAGCGCGTTGTGCAGCACGACCCGCTCACACGCGCAAAGATTGCCGGCCCGTCTGTCCAGCGCGCACATGCACGCGTGCGTCCATCACGGGGTGTGTCCGATGCACCTTCGCACCAGCACCAGCACCAGCAACAGTATCAGCAACAGTATCAACACCCGCACGGTCCGCGCACGCGTCTGGTGACGCGAAAACCCGCTGGTGAAGTGCTGGACAGCATGCAGCTGTTCCTTGAGCTGGAGCAGGAGCTCAGCGACGACGCACACGCACACGCAGACACACACGCACATGCACACGCACGCACGCGGCTGCAGTCTGATGCAAGTGCAGGGCGGAGATATGGCAGGCAGCAGCCTGGAGGGGCACGCAAGGGTCGCTCGTCGCCATCGTTGCCGTCGTCATACAAGACGCGCCAGCTTGTGAACCAGAGTGTGGACGATGCTATCGGTGAGCTTGAGGTGCTTGAGCAAGATCTTATGGTCAACCTAGAGCACCTCGACCAGCGGCTCAAAGCCATTGAGCACAGGCGCGGCGATACCCCCGACGATGCCGAAGACAGCGACACGTCATCTCGTGGTCGTGGTCGTGGTCGTGGTCGTGGCAGGGGTGGTGGGAAGAGGATGAGGGTGGCGAGTGCCCCCGTGCACCGCTCACCAGCACGACAGCCGCAGCCACCACGGATGCCGCGCACGCAGTCAGCGCGCCACCGCACGAAGCAGTGGGCGGAGGCGACGAAGAAGGAGGTTGCTGGCGGTGATGACGCTGCGAATGCCATGGCGGCCGCCAACGCGCGTCCCGTCAAGCAGCGGTCGTTTCGGCGATACAGGAAGCCGACGTCATACGCTGACATACACGCGGGCTGAGGCAGCGCTTTTGTTGTTCATGGCAACGTGTCCATTTCTCCACACACTGTCGCTGTGCGTGTGCGTGTGCTTCCGCGTGTGCATATGTGAAGTTGTTACATTTTGTCTCGCTGCAATTGTAACCGACCTGACACCCTTTGACACATTCGCCCACCCACGCATTCCACTGCAACGGTGCCGAAAACATCCAAACATGTGTCAATTATTACAGCGTCAGAACAAGTTCGAAAAACAGGAAGAGAGGAGAGGGGAAGTGAAAGTGGGTGGTGGGGTCAGACAACCATTGGCTGCTGTGCTTGCAAGTGCGTGCGCACATCAACAACTCAACCACACACGCGCACACACCACGCGCAAGACGAACAAATGCTAGGCTAGGGATAGCTTATCCACAGCAAAGTCCTACGAACAACAGCAACAGCAGCAATGAAGACGGAATGTGGAGGCACACTGCTTCTCATGTCAATTGCGAGCTCGTACCAGTGCATGTATCTGTGTGTGTGTGTGTGTATGTGTATGTGTGTGTACCAGTGTGGATATGTGCGTGTGTGTGTGTGTGTCTGTGTGTGTACACGTTGCAGGCGGCGTGTTTCGTGGAGTGCACTGGGTCACGCGTCATCGCCACCAGCAGCGCGCTCCTCCTTCGGCGGTGCGGTCGGCGGACACCAGCGCAGACAGCGCGTGTCAACCTCAAGCTTTGGAGGCCTGCAACGTGCGCGATCGACATCGTCTGGTGATGAGAAAGCGAGAGGGGAGCCAAAACGGAGGACGAAAGTGCGACGACGGCATGTCCGCCCTCAACCAGCTCTGCCTGAATGATGCTGCCCACGCGGTTTTGCAGATGCTGCACACACGCACACACACACACACACACACACACACACACACACACACACACACACACACACACACACACACACACACACACACACACACACACACACACACACCTGAGTTTCCTCATGACGGTGGCGGCGTGGAGCTGTTTGGTGGTGTAGCAGATGGTATGATGGCCGCGCCAGTACTTGATCAGGTCCAACCACTGCAGCGTCGCCACAACGTCATCCTGCGTGATGCTGTTGTCAGAAGAGAGGAGGGGGGGGGGCGGAGACAAGGTAAAGGCGCGTGAGGGGCGGAAGCGTGTGTGTGTGTGTGTGTGTGTGTGTGTGTGTCATGTGGTTGCATGCGAGTTCTCAAACAAAACAAACAAAACAGCGTCGGTATACCCTGTGCGTGCAGAGAGCTGTGCTGTTGTGACCGGCTCGTCCGTCTTGTGCAGCGCCGTCAGCAACTCCCTGCACAAACAAAAGCGAAAAAATGACGCATGCACACAGGCGCACACATGCACACGCACACGCAATGAGCGTGAGCATCGCAGTTGAAGGGTGACTGGCGGTGGCAAAACATGCACACGTGTAAATCCACATCACAGACAACCGTAGTCACCATCAACATCAACATCAACACACACACACACACACATACATGCACATGCACATGCACCACTTCTGTTTCTCCCGTTGTGTCACACCCGTCACCACCACCATCATCACCACCACCATCACCACCATCACCACCCATCGAACCGCACCATGCCCAGTAGCTCTGGTAGCCAATCAGCCCGAGATCAGAGAGCGGCTTCTCCGGACCGCCAATCCGGCCCTCCAGCCGCGACAGAACGTAGCCTATGGAGGTGGGGATCAAGGTGAAGTCGTGGTTAAACAAAAGTGTGGTGGTGGTGGTGGTGGTTAAACAAGTGTGGTGGCGGTGGTGGTGCAGTGAAAGGGGTCAGGAAGGAGCTTGCGATGATCGTGCGTGTGTGAACAGACACGAGAGAAACAAACAGCCATTTCCTCAGCCATTCACGCGTGTGGTTGTGAACGCACTGAATTCGATGAGGAATCGACCGTAGCCGCGCTGTTGATATGGAGGAAATGTGCAGATGCACGCGAGATTGTTGTTCTCATGCGACTCTTTCTCCTGTAAACCACAAACAGGCGGTGGGCGGTCGGTGCGCGAGTGAGTGTGTGTGTGTGTGTGTTTGTGTGAGTGTATGCATGAGTGTGTGCGCGAGTGAGTGTGTATGTGTGTGTGTGTGTGTGTGTGTGTGTGCGAGTGCGTGGGGGCGTGTGGGAGCGTCAGGGGTGATAAAGAACCCAATCGCAAGGCTGACTCAAGAGCAACATGGCGACCCTTCAACGCACACACGCACGCAAACATGCACACACGCAAACATGCACACACGCGCGCGCACCTTTGAGAAGTATCCGACGACGTGTGCACCGGTGTCGTCGACGTGTGTGAGGACGTAAAACATAAACGGGCCGACGTCAAAGTACAGCGTCTTGCGGTCAAGAAACAGCTGGAGGTGGCAGCAATAGGGACGGGATGAACAGGGGGGAGGATGAGGAATAGGTGAGACATGCATGGTTGCTTGCAAGCAAGCTTTGCATAACTGTACATGTGCAGTTGTGTACTTTGATATGCATGTATGCATTGGTGTTGTGAAACGAATCACTGATGCATATATGCACGCTTACAAGCAGCACACTTTCACCACACACACGCACTCACGCACACACACCACCACCACCACCACCACCAGCAGCATGCAGTGGGCACCTTTGCAAAGAGACAGAGGTTCTGACAATAGAGCTTTTCCTGTGCACCGTCGATCTCGTACATGGAGATGTGGTGTTTTCTGTCCAACAGTACACAGAGGGGAAGCAGCGGACATGGTGAGGCAGTCACGACAGCAGAGAGACTGTGACTGCCGTTCATGTCGGCGCTCCTTGCGTAACAATTCCCCCGCTCCACCATTCACCATTGTCTGACCATTGCCCTGCGTCCCTAGCGTCTTGACACACGCACACATGCACACACACATGCACACACACACGCGCGCGCGCACACACACTCACCTGTAGATCTCGCGGCCGGGAGGACATCGGCGTGTACATGTGTGCGTGAGGAGGGCGTGGCGGTGCGCCATGTACTTGAAACACCACTCGCACACATACAAATGAGGCAGCTTCCCTGATGCATGCACGCACGTGCAAACACATGGCGTGTGAGTTGGTCGAAAGTGAGAGAGAGAGTGTGTGTATGTATATGTGTATGGGTGCAGCAACGTTGCGTTCACAACACGCTGCAATCACACAGCAAAACAATAATGCATGCATGTAATTCCACTATCCACTTCAGAACCAAGACAAACGCAAGCGCACCGTATTCCTCTGGATATGGTGATAAATACCAGGCACTCAGCCTGTACTTGCTGAAGTACACGCTTGTGATGTGCTTGATCTTCGTGTTCTTCTCGTACTCGCGCTCAACAGCATCCAGGGACGCCTGGCTGCCGCCCGTGCCTGCACGACCCATGTGACTTGCCTCTGTCTTTCGCTTCATGTTGCGCGTCACCTTCCGCGTCGGCTCCCACGTGCGCTTTGAAGACTGCACCCGGAATGAGGTCGATGTATGTGAGGGAGTGAGTGAATGAGTGTGTGTGTGTGTGTGTGTGTGTGTGTGTGTGTGTGTGAGTGCGTGCGTGCGTGCGTGTGTGCGTGAGTGCGTGTGTGTGAGTAAGTGAGTGTGAGTGAGTGAATGAGTGAGTGAGTAAGTGAGTGTGTGTGTGTGAGTAAGTGTGTGTGTGTGTGAGTGAGTAAGTGTGTGTGTGTGTGTGTGTGTTGTCGATGGATCATAAGAGGCATCACATCAGTTCCAGTGCACAACAGTGTCAGTTGAAACCTTGCTTGTCAACACAAAAATAAACACATCTCATGAAATACACACGGTTACACGCACATACACACACACAGACACACACACACACACAAATACACAAATACACACACGCACACGTACATGCGCGCAAGCACAAACACACACACACGTTCATGCATGCACACACCTTTGGACCGTCTGGCTTGTCGCCTTCAAGCTGCTTTTTGTAGTCTTCGAGATCGATGCGAGAGAGCGCCACCCACTCGTCCATGCGTCGATCATCTGCAAAGCGAGACAGGATGGCACGAAGACAATGGTGCGAGGGAGGGGTAGTTTGTATTGATGATGAGCAACAAGAAATCGCTCAGTGGCGCAGTCATTCACGAGGAGAACACAGAGCGATTAATTGCACACAACTGGGCTCCTCTCGACAATGCACAGTAATATGGCTCCTACATGCAAGGTAGTGGACGTAGTACTCCAACTGGCCAGGCCTCCGCTCTCGCGACTGCACTACGGTGGCCTCATCTACGAATGAAAGGATGCATGAGCGCATGCGTGAGAGGAGAAGAAAGACAGAGATGCGCCTCGAACTGCGACAACTCATGTCGAAGCCAGTCTCGCAATGGTATGGACCAGCAACAAAACAGGCTCATCAAAAGGTGTCAACGTACATCGAGCACAACTACAATCACACACACACACGTGCACATATACGCACACACGCACACACGCACACACGCACACACGCACACACACGCAAACACACAACACGCACACACATGCACACACGCACGCACACACATGTACACGCACACAATCGCAGAGTTTGCGTACGTGTTGAATTGTCATCCCATGACACGAGCACCACAGACCCAATGAGGGGCAATGGCAGCTCTGAAGACACTGCCGCAGAATTTGACGAAACAGATGTTGCTGATGATGTCGACGGCGTGGCAGAGGCTGTCGAAGAGGCTGCAGGCAAGGGAGACGGCAAGGATGGCGCCTCGTCCCCGCCCTCTGGAGAAGACGATCTGTGACAGGTCACCGCATCAACCACTGGATCGGTTACGTGGTGACGATACATCCATCCAACTACACCGTACCACAAGCGATCCCTTCCTCCTACACCCAACAAACCAAACACACACACGCGCGCACACACACACATCACACACACGCACACACACACACACACACACACACACACACACACACACACACACACACACACACATATCACAGTGGTCGCACCTCTCCGCCATGGTCGTGGTGGTTGCTGAAGATTTGATAAAGTTTTCAGTCACTTTTCTACACTGCGGAGCAAAGGACAGCAAAAGCAACCACAACAAGCCAACAGCAAGCAAGCAAGTAAGCAAGCAAGGAACAGGCAATCAGCATTGTCATGGAAGGTGGAGGCGAGGATGTGGTGACGGCTCAGCCAACAGCGGGGACGTCGGGGGAACCCTTGCCACCAGAAGGGTTCTTAGTCACCATTCCAAAGTTTCAAGAGAAGATTGACACCTCCGGTAAGCCACAACGCCACTGTCAAGCAAAGTCTGTGTCGTGTTTGTTGCGGAAGAGTTTGTTTGGGTTTTGGCTTGTCAGAACAACATCAGCTTGCTGCAGCTGTCTGTGTGTGTGTGTGTGTGTGTGTGTGTTTGTGTCTGTGTGTGTGTGTGTCTGTCTGTCTGTCTGTGTGTGTGCCTATGTCTGTGTGTGTGTGTATGTGTGTGTGTTTGTGTGTCTGTCTATCTTTCCCTTTTTTTTCTCTCTCTCTCTCTCTGTGCCTGCCTCTGTGTCTGCCTGTCTTTCTTCCTTTCTGCCTGTCTGTCTGTGCCTTTCAGCTTGTGGATTTCGCCTCACACAACCCCATTGGTTCGGGTGCATGGTGCAGGGTCATACATGACATATGTCATCACAAGCGAGTTTGGGCCCGACAATGTCTTGAACATCACATCTGGTGAATATGCCGTGCATCGAAGGTGAGCACACCCTTCGTGAAATGGGTGTGTGCTGCTCGTCTCTGCGAATCCATGCGTGCTGTGCTTTGGTGACGGTTGTCACAAGGTTGTTCGCTTCCCCCGTCATCGTAGGTACAATGAGTTCTCCCACCTGGTATCATATCTGCGAGCGGCCCTGCCGTACGTGATTGTACCGCCAATCCCGGAGAAGAAGCTCAACTTCAAGGTTCGGTCCTGCCCTGTTCAGCTGCAGCTGGCAGTGTACACTAACAAACGCATACACACACATGTACACACGCGCTCTGTGATTGCTTCCAGCTCATCAACACACACACACACACACACACACACACACACACACACACACACACACACACACACACACACACACACCACTGCAGTGGAAGCAGATGGCCGTGGACGTCACGGATGAGGTGTTTGTGGGCAAGCGACGCATTGTGCTGGAGGATTTTCTTCGCCGCTGCCTCGACCACCCGCTCATCCGCATGGACAAAGGTACACAAACGTGTCCTGCAGCTGTGTATGTGTATGTGTGGGTGTATGTGTATGTGTATGTGTGTGTATATGTGTGTGCATGTGTGTTTCTGAGTGTGTGGTTACATGTGTTCACATGTGGTTACATGTGTTTCCATGCATGTCTATTCTTTCTCTCTCCCTTGTTAGTTTGTGTGGTGGGCTCGTGCTACTGTCAGCCCCATGCACGTGTCCCTCGCTATATGCACTTATTTTACACCACTGACTGCACATACACGTGTGCGTGTGCTTTTGCTTTTGCTATGTTTCCATCGTTAGGCTTCCAGGCGTTTCTGCTGGAGCAGGACTGGATGGAGGATCTGATGGTGGAAGGATTTGATGGCGAAATGCACCCGTTCACGGGCGCCGAGTGGCTCTCATCTCTTCGCGCAATGACCGCCAGCCGCGCAACGGAACCGCAGCTGCTGTGCGCTGAGTTGCCGGTGTCTGCTTTGGCGTAGTTCTGTGCTTTGTGTTATTGACGTGGTTCGACTGCATGTTGCGTGCCCATGGCATGAATGCACAAGCACATTCCTTCCACGCGCACACACTCGCTCTCTTGCTCACACACACTCGCTTTCTCACGCTCTCACATTCACATGCACTCGCACACGCCATCACCTACAACGGCCGCCAGGGAGGTGAAACACTTCAAAGCACTCGGCGCCTCCACGTCCCAGCACGTCGGTGTTCTCCTCAACGCACACGCAGGGTGGGGCCTACTTTGCCTGCTTGTTTGCTCGTTCGTTTGTTCGTAATTTGTTTGCTCGTTTGTTTTGTTCGCATTTGTTTTGTTTGTTTTGTTTTGTTGTGTTTGTTTTGTTTTGTTGATGTGTCACCACTCATCTCCACCGCGTTTCGGTGCGGAACCAGTCTCGCGTACAAGGCACAGGCCCTCTCGGCCTTCTTCAAGGACTTTGCCGACGTGCTCACGTGAGGATGTGCTGGTTGTGACGATGGGATAGATGTGATTGTGCTGATGGCGATGGAACTGATGAGATGGCGCCAATCACGAATCCAACGTTTCATGTTTTTCTCTTCCACTCACAAAACAACAATGTGTTTGTCTGCCTCTACTGCCCCATGTCCGACAATCACCATGATGATGATGATGATGATGATGATGATGATGATGATGATGATGATGATGATGATGCTGATGATGCTGATGATGATGATGATGATGATGATGATGATGATGATGATGATGATGATGATGATGATGATGATGATGATGATGATGATGACCAGGGAGCTGTGTGAACTGATGCCCAAGCTCGCCGCGCCCTTCAAGTCGGCCTCAGCCCGCATCTCAAGGTGTGTGTGTATGTGTGTGTATGTGTGTGTGTCTGTCTGTGTCTGTCTGTCTGTCTGCGGTTTGCTGTTGCAGACCTGAACGTGACCGTGCACCTGAATCGCTCACTCACGACTCCACACCATTAACACAAACATTCGCACGTACACACATGCACATACCAATGCGCGCGACCGCTGCGGTGGCAGGATGGGCGATGCCACGGTGTGGCGGCTGCAGCAGGAGGAGCGCGCGTTTGTCGACACGCTCGTCGCGTTCATGGGATACACAGACAGCATCAGGTAGCCGACCACCACCACCACTACCACCACCAGCACCGCCACCGTCATCATGACTGCGCTCGCTTACACTCAGCCACGGGCATGTGCGTCTTGCGTGTTGTTGGTGCTGCCTTTTCTCGCCCAAGCAGCCGCCCAGACACACACACACATTTACACATATTTACACACATTTACACACATTTACACACATTTACACACATTTACACACATTTACACACATTTACACACACACACACACAACCCAATTCCCCCATCCCCTTCAGTGCGTTTGTGAAGAATGAGGAGATTGCATTTGCAGCGAAAGTGCGAGCGCGAGATGCACACGCGTCCAAAGTCGCCACGATCACCGCCCTGGAGCGGCCAGACGAGGACAAGGTGTGTGTGTGTGTGTGTGTGTGTATGTGTGTGTGTCTGTGTGTCTGTGTGTCTGTCTGTGTGCCTGTGTGTGTCTGTGTGTGTGTCTGTGTGTACCTGTGCTTGAACAATGTGTTGCTTCTGTTTTGTGTTCTTCCTGTGAACCTTTTGTGCGCTCAATCACTCGCACATGCACTCCATTTTGCATCCACACTATACATTTCACCACATCTCTCATCACACCGTCTCCTCCTCCCGGACCCAGTCGCTGTCGGGGTTCTTCACGCGGCTGGCGACGACGGAGGCGTCCAAGGCGTCGAAGATCGAGGCGCTGAAATCAGAGGCCGAGCACCTCAAGCTCGTCGCAGAGACAGCAGAGCAGCAGCACAAGTGCGTACGGACGAAGAGAAGGGCGGTGACGGTGGATGGTGGATGGTAGATGGCGGATGATGGATGATGGATGGTGGAGCCATAGTGAGGTTGTGGTGGATGGTGAAATGGTGGAAGAGATGATGGTGAGGTTGTGTGTGCCGGTGGCGGGAGGATGTTGGGGTTTGCTGAACGGGAGGTGTGTAAGCTATTCAATGAACATATGTGTGTGGTTACATTACATCACTGAATGTGCTTGCTGCTTGTTTGTGTGTCAGGGATTTCCTGCAAGAAGCGCTGAAGGAGATGAAGCGGTTCAGTGCAACGAAACGCCATGAGCTACTGTCCATCTTCAAGGACTACGCACGCCTGCAAAAGGTGCCAGCTAAATGTTGATGTGTGCGTCTTGTGTGCTGTGGTTTGGGCAAGGTTGCGTGCACACCTTGCTCTGCTTGACCCAAGTGCACACTCGTAGTCCACTCTCACCACCCTCACCACCCTCACCACCCCTTCCTTTATTTCTTCCTCAACATGCGCCTTTTGTTGCTGCTGTTTGCTGTACAGGAGCACGCGCACCACATTGCCAAGATGTGGACGGACATCAAGCAGGCCGTCTCCGCCCCACAACCATGACACTTCTTTGCTTGTGTCTGTGTGTGTCTGTGTCTGTGTCTGTGTCTTTGTGTCTGTGTCTTTGTGTCTGTGTGTGTCGGTGTGTGTCGGTGTGTGTCTGTGTGTCTGTGTCTGTGTGTGTCATTCCACGACCACCGCCCCATCCCGCTGTTACTTGTGTGGATAGTTTGCAACAGTTTCAATAAATTTCCGGAAGCAAGAGGAGGAGGACAACAACCAACAACAGCAGCGATGGCGACAAAGGATGAAGAGGTGGACGTGTTGCTGACTGGGTTTGAGGTGTTTGGACGCCACACCATCAACCCTTCCTGGGAGGTGCGTCTGAACTCACACAGAGTTGGTTGGGCCTTGGCTTGGTGTGTGATGCACGTGCACGTGCACGTGCAGTTCTCGCCTCAGCTCGCGTTTGCTGGTGCGTCTTGATGTGGCTCATGACACAACTCATGCAACACATCATGACACCACATGTCTCCTCCGTGTCTACCCACACCACCTGCGCCGCCCGTCATGTTGACAGATTGTCAAGACGCTCAACGATATGCCCTTGCATGGGCTGAAGGTGCGAGCGCACCTACTCCCCGTCGACTATGGTCAGTGCGTTGAAATGACATGATTTGACGCAGCTGTCACAGAGCGTGTTCCATCCCAGAGCGTGTGCCGTCCCCAATTTCACCTCCAAAACACACACACACACACACACACACACACACACATACACACACACACACACACACACACACACACACGTACAACCACAGCTGGCGTGGACGAGAGCTACCCGAAAATCCTGGCGCAGTATCCAAACTTGAAGCTGATCATCAACTGTGGCGTGGGGTCAGCGGGCTCCCTGCAGCTCGAGCAGATTGCACGCAATGGGCCATACACCCGCCTGGACAACAGCAACTCGGCCCCTGCTACTGAACTCTGCAGAGCAGAGGACGACCCCTCCTTTGTCCGCAAAACCACGCTGCCACTGGAAGACCTTGTTGCGGACTTGACGCGGGCCGCACCCGACTTGCAGCTCAAGACCTCCACTGACGCCGGCCTCTTCCTGTGTGAATACACGTTCTACAACAGCTTGAGGGCGCAGCGCTGCCCTGCCGTTTTCTTCCACGTGCCTCCGTATGGAAGCCCGTACTCGGAGTCTGTGCTGAGACTGCACGCGTTCAACGTTTTATCCCGCCTCGTGCGCCACATCGCCTCTGCATCACCAAAGGCCCTGCGCCCAAAGGTTTAATGCCTGTGTATGTGTGTGTATGTGTATGTGTGTGTATGTGCATGCATGTGTATGCATGAATGAAAGTATTTGAGCGCGTGTGTGCTGTTTGCTTGTTCCCCTGCTCTGGCGTTTGTGTTACTACCCCATGTCACTTCCTTGCACCTTTTTATCCCTGACACACACACACACACACGTCTGCAATACAGGTAGGCCTGGCAGTCCTGGTGACGAGCAAGGCGTACCCTGGATGCGTCATCGTTGGCCGGCGCAAGTCCGCACACAGCGATGGCAACCCGACCGGCAAGGGCTCATGGGCTCTCCCGGTACGCCCCAGCCAGCACCTCTGGCATGACTTGTGTGCGCATGTTGGATGGTGGAAGGGCGCGCGTGCTTGCATGCATGATGTGGCCACAACTGCTTCTTTGCTTTGCTTCTTGCGCGACTTTGCGTGCTGTGCTTGCTTCATTCCTCTCACTGCCGTGCTGCCACGGCCCACACCCTCTGGTGCTCACCCCCACAACTATCACCAACAACCCCATCGCCGTCATCAACACCAACATCATCACAACCACCAACAAGGGCGGCCATCTTGAGTTTGGAGAGTCGTTTGAAGCGTGTGCAGCGCGCGAGGTGGCAGAAGAGTGCGGCCTGAACGATCTGACGCGCGTGCGCCACGTCGCCACCGTCAACAGCATCGACAAGACGTCCAACTACCACTACGTCGTGCCGTTCGTTGCAGCGGAGACGAGCGGTGAGCCCGTGGCCATGGAGAAGGACAAGTGCGACGCGTGGGAGTGGCGGCGGTGGTCCGATCTTCCGCAACCACTCTTTGCGCCCCTCGCACAGCTCAAGGCAACGGCCTTTGACCCGTTTGCAAGCAGCAGCAGCAATGGCATAGGCAACGGCCTGCAAGACGACAAGCACGACACCAACAGCACGCAACCCGCATAGCTTGTGTGTCTGTCTGTCTGTCTGCATTTCTGTGTGCATGTCTGTGTGTGTGTGTGCGCGCGTACATTTTAATGGGCATGTCCAGGCATTGATGAAGTGTGCGTTTAATGACGTGAGTCCACGCGGGCGCAGCAGAGGAGCAAGTTCAGACATGGGAGCATGAATGCATGAACAAAAAAAAAAGGCACGCACGTGCGTATGTTGTAAAAACACAAAACGCGTGGTGCGTGTGAAGAAAGCACACAAAGAATAAATGCCATGATGGGATGACGCAGTGAAAACAAGGAAATGGGTTGCACGATGGCGTGGGCAGGAAAGTGTGATGTGCACGTGGGTTCGTCGTGAGCGAACCAAATGCTGCCATGGCTGGCTGCAAACGAAGAGAAGGTCCGTTCCGCAGTTGGCTGTGCGGTCGGCCCTCATGATCAGAGGCGGTACACGCGGAAGTCGTACCACGCACCGCCACCTGCAGGCAGTGAACACACGAACGAAGCAGTTGATGAACCAAGAGAATGTGTGTGTGTGTGTGTGTGTGTGTCTGTCTGTCTGTCTGTCTGTCTGTCTGTCTGTCTGTCTGTCTGTCTGTCTGTGTGGGGGAGGGGGGGCAGTGCGCACTTACAATGCAAGCAAATGTGTCGTGGGACCACAGCACAAGTTGAGGGTTGATGAGCTGACACAGTGTGGTCCCACTTTCTTTCACGCTCAATGAACTCAAGCTCATGTGCACATGAGCACGCACGAACGGCCACGCTTACTGAATTCGTGCATGTAGTATTCCACGGTGTACACGCCCGCGGGGATGTCGTGGTCGTGCGTGTGCCCGTTGCACGACGTACAGCCTCCACATCCATGCTGCACACAACGCGTGTCATGACGGTTCTTACATGTCAATACTGGGGCAAAACAAGGAGTCACACACTCGATTGTACCAGCACGCGCACACACATACATGCCGACACGCACACGCACACACATGCACACAAGCACACATGCACACATGCACACAAGCTTACGTCGATGGCGTAGAATGTCCTTGGGCCACTGAGGTGAATCCTGCAGCAATCATCCGCAGCGCCTAAACAGGAACGACACTAACGTGAGACTGTCATGACGGCATGTTCTCGGTGGAACGAAAATGAGCAGAACTATGAAACGGAACGCCTGAACGCAAGCAAGCCGGTAAGGCATGCATGTGCCAGGCGCAACGCGCCATTGCATCACATCCGCCATAATCCCCCAGAAAACGCCATATTGCATTACGCACAGTAGAAGCGGTATCTTCCGGCTGCAAACTTGACGGTGGATGTGGCGCGCACATCGTAGTTGCTTCCGTGATCACCGCCAGTGAGCTGCGTGTTCTGGTACGCACCACCACCGCGGCAACCTGCAATTCAAACATGTGTGACATCCGTGCAAGGCGTCATGAGCGTTGACCATCAGTACATTGCTTGCAAGCACCATGTAGTATGGCAAGATAGGTATGTGCGTGTGTGTGTGTGCGTGTGTGTGTGTGTGTGTGTGTGCGTGTGTGTGTGTGTGTGTGCGTGTGTGTGTGTGTGTGTGCGTGTGTGTGTGTGTGTGTGTGTGTGTGTGTGTGTGTGTGTGTGTGTGTGTGTGTGTGTGTGTGTGTCCTGGCACGGCACAGCAGAAAAGCATCAGCAATGGCCGCACCTCCTTCAGCGCCCGTCATTTTCCATTGGCCAGCCGAGCAGGAGCTGTAGCCCACCTGCAGACAGATAGTATGACAGAACAGAGAACAACAGCAGTCTGTGTTTAAGGACGCGGCAGACTCGATGTGTTTGACGATCGTTCGGCATCATGCATGTGCATGTGCATGTGTGCGTGCATATGCACGCGCAATTATGGCACCCACCACTTTGATGCCTCCAGGTAAGCATTCGAAGTTGGAGGTGCCGGGGCAGGTGGGTGTCAGGGGGTATGTGCCCCCAGGGCAACCACATGTCTTACACGACGACTCTGTTCACAGCCATGATGACACAGCACGCAAGGAGCACACAACAGGTGGAGGCATGAGTGCTGTCTCATGAACGCTCTGGCATGTAATCTGCTCGCTTGCTTCCTTCGTACGACAAGCGCAGTCAGCAGCGAATGGTTGCAGTATCATACAGCAACATCAACGTAGCACGTACAGCAGCATCAGCAGCACCAGCAGCACCAGCAGCATCAACAGCGCCAACAGCGCAAACAGCGCCAACATTATGGCAATGGGTCGCCTCCAAGCAAAAGAGTGACGCCAACACACCACAGTGAGACAAACCACAAGCAAATCACGGCAGGCTGTCAGCGCACCTCTGTGCTGCGATGCGTCCTGGTACTTGCCGCTCGGGCAGGTGACGCACGAGCTGTCGCCGACGGTGCGGTCGCAGGGCACCATGTACGAGCCGGCATTGCAATGCGTGGGTGTGCAGTCCTGGCATTTACGCTCCATGTTTGGGGTTGCGCTGTAGGTGAACGCAGGGCACTGCTGGCACTGGTTGGCTTCCGTGGGCGTGCACGCCCTGTTCATAAACTCGCCTGAAGGCAACGTGTGGAAGGAGGTTGATGAGTGAGTGCAGGGATGAGTGAGTGGAGTGAGTGGAGTGAGTGAAGGGGAAAAAAGGGAGTGAGTTGAGTGGAGTGAGGGACTGTAACACTTGCTTGTGTGACTGGAGTCGGTGCTTGCAGGCAATGGTACAATGAATGAATGCCACGAGCACACGTGCATGTCAATGCAACATGCAATGCGTATCAGCTCCAGTGTCCCCGACCTGCAGGGCAAAACTTGAGACAGCGCTCTGCTGCGGCGATGGCTGGTGCCATGCGGTCAATGGCGCTGGTGACACCGTCCAGTTCAGCAGAGAGCGCATCGCTCGCCGCCGACACCGTGCTCGCAAGCTCATCCCGCAGCGTCGACAGCACGCCGTCGTCTTGCTCATCCACCTGATGCGCACGTGTGAGTGTGTGTGTGTGAGAGAGTGAGTGTGTGTATGTGTGGGGGGGGGGAGGGGAAGAGAAGCAACCATGGAGGTGTGAGCGTTGCATGCTTCAGCGATGTTATGAAGTGACAGGATTGAAGAAGAGAGAGCATGCCATTTGCTGCCAGAGCATGCGTAGTGAGGAAGCAAGCAACCATAGTGTACATGTGATATTGTGCACGTGTGTGGACTCACGTAAGTTTGAAGGCTGTCGATGCGGCCATCCACACGATCAAACTGCAGCGTTGATGATGAAGGGAGAGAGAGAGAATGTGTGTGTGTGTGTGTGTGTGTGTGCGTCATGTGGTTAAGCAAGGGGAACGTGGCGAGCGAGGAGTGTGATCGCATGGTGATTGACTGCACGGGCGTGGACGAGCGCAGCCAGTCAAACACATGCGCACTGCGAGCAGACGACGAGAAACACAACAGACACATACCTCTTCACCCAGATACTCTGTCAGAGTCGAACCTATTGTCACAAGCAGAAGTCATAAGGAAATAAATGACACAATGATGAGTGCGCATATGGTGACTGGTGAGCTAACTGTGCGCTAGTGCGCACACCGAAAACACCACATCAACGAGGAGACAAGCCAAGCTCATACGATTCCTGCATTGGCATTCACGCCAGCTCATGCACAAACAAATATCGCGTATGCACGCAAAAGTCGTGCGCAACTATCACGCAGATGCATATGTGCGGACGCTCCTGTGTGCCGTGTTCACATACCCTGTGGTGCGTTTGCGTCAATGGCATCTTGGACAGCTGCGCGCACGACGCCCTGGCTGTCGAGCACATTGGCGGCCACAATCTGCGCCACCTTCGCCTCTGTGCGCACACGCGCGCTGCCATCCTCCATGATGGTGGACAGCGTGGAGGTGATGGACGCCTCAATCTCAACGTCGCTCAGGATCCGCCCAGACCTGCGCGCATGTGGTTGGGGAGAAGGGGGTGAAGGGAGAGGGTGGTGGCGAGAGTTGTGGGGGAGGTGGTGAGGATTGTGGAAGTGGGGGGTGTTCACGCGTTGGGCAACACCGGATTCAGCACCCCTCCATGTGCAACATGCACGTGCAGGTCTTCTCGTGATTGCACGCATGTGTGTGGTGGTGGTGTGGCATTGTGACATGGCTGTGGACCCACCAAGCGTTTGGTTGGAGGTTTTGGGTCATGTAAGCAAGGTCCATGCGCTTGTCATCAAAGACCTCCACGCGAAGTGTGCCGCCCTCGGTCACCAGCTTGGGCTGTTTAGCTGAAGGGCGGGGTGTGAGTAAGTGTGTGTGTGTGTGTGTGAGTAAGTGTGTGTGTGTGACTGGGTGGGTGAGTGTATGGAAAGTAGAACCACGCGTGCACATGTACACACACACATGCACATACACATACGCACATACACACACACGCCAACAGCACTATCTGTGTACGTACGAGTGCACATGGGAAGGGTGCCGATGAACTGGCCGTTGTCGCAGGTGAGGGCAGCGGTGGCGCCAGCGTAGCCCACGGCACACGGAATGACGCAGCTGTTGGTGTGCACGGCACCAAAGCAGTCGCTCAAGTCCATGGCCTGCGGGTCGGCTTCCGCAGGCAAGCTGCAAGGCACAGCTATCCAACCCAACAGTAACAACAACAGCAACAACCAAAACAACGGCATGACGTGACAGAGGGTGAGACGGTAATGGTGGTGGTGACGAGGAAGTTGACACATGGATTGGACAATGTTCGATGGAAAGAAGGGGCAGACAATGTGTCTGTGTAAGGTGCACTGGCTTCTCACAGCCAAACTGAAAGAGAACGACGGGGCAGGTGGGAGCTGCACGTCAATGACTCAATCACTCACGTGTGCACGAGGGAGGTGGTGCATCAAACGCGGTTGTGTTGGCGTTTAGGGCTGTGCAGGTGCGGGTGACATCTGCGCCCGCGTAGCCACGTGCACACTCCCAGGTACACGCGTCACCAACAGGCACAAGCGAGCGGCAACCATGGCTCACAATAGCGCTCTCATCCTCCGCAGGGTTGCACGGTGCTGTGCAAGAAAGTGACAAGGTGGTGGTGATGGCGGTGACGGTGGTGTAACGTGAGTTGTGTGGGGGAGAGGGAATCTACGCAGCCATACGCACGCATACACAACCCAAGCAAACACAAACACAAACACAAACACAAACACATACACAACACAAACCAACATAACAACACAAACACAAACTTAAACACATACACATACATACAATGCACAACACAAACATGCACAAACACACGCACCAAAACATGTTGGAAGGGACCCTTGGAACGTGGAGTTGGAGCCGCACACGAGCGTCTGGGGCGTGCCGGTGTACGAGCCAGAGACGTCGCACGAGGCAATGCAGGTGGCGCCGAGCGCAACATTGTTGCAGTTGTGCACGACATGGCTTGGCACTGCTCCAAAGGAAGCTACGAGCGAGGCAGCGTCGCACGCCCCGCCATCCTGCACAGCACACCCCATCTGCGCCACCGCCAACAGCTGCGCGCACACCACGAGCGCCAGCCACGGGCCACACACACGGTGCTTTGATGCCATGGTTCTCCAGCACACACCACGGGTATGTTGTTGCTGTTCCCACGCGTTTTGCTTTGAAGCGCTGAGCAGAACAACGGCAGCGTTGTGAGTTTGTATTGGAGCAAATGGGAACAACAACAAGCAAAACCAAAACAAACAACAACACAAATTAAATGGATGGACAGGCAGGTTTTGCTTTTTGACGTTTCGCGCGTCCATTGACATTCATTTACTGTCGAGGCTGTCACACGTCATACAACACACGTCACAACACACGTCACAGCACATCACAGTCACAGCATATGTGTTCCTCATGTGACTGTTGCTGCTGAAGGGTAAGCCACACGTTGGTCCTGCAAGAACGCGGCCCACACCTTTGGAAACAACGACCCAACAGCCTCGGGCGTGAACGAAGGAGCAGCAGATACAGATGCATCATCATCACCATTATCACCATCACCATCATCGCCATCATCATCGCCATTGTCAGCATGTGCTTGTTGTTGTTGCTGCTGCTGCTGCCTCTCACGGCGGGCACGAGGGCGGTACTGGTCTCGATGCGCGGTTGCATCAAAGGCCAAGTGCTCCTCGCTAATCACCCACTCAATGAACCTCTGTTGTTTGGTGTGCGTTTGTGTTTGGTGCGTGTGTGGTATGTAATGTGAAGAACAGCGACGGGGTGCATCCAACAGTCACTGCCACACACACACACACACACACACACACACACACACACACACACACACACACACACACACACACACACACGCACGCATGCACGCACACACACACACGATCAAACACACCTTTGCCAAAGCCTGCCACTGCATCAGTTCGTCCTTGCTAAAGCCGAGCCAGTCGCGGATATCGCGCAGGCGCGCGTTGGTCTTTGTCACGCACGATGATCGAATCGACGCATACGGCGTGTCTGGCGACTTCACCTGGTGTGTGTGTGTGTGTGTGTGTGTGTGTGTGTGTGTGTGTGTGTGTGTGTGTGTGTGTGTGTGTGTGTGTGTGCGTGCGTGCATGTGTGTGTGTGTGTGCGTGCGTGAGAACGAACACTGAAGATTGCTGACACACAATATTCGTTGTGACGCAGCGTTGTGACGTTGAAACGCAGCAACTCAGGCACCCATCACCTCCCTCAAGTTGTTATCACTGCTGGGCGTGAGTGCACGTACCACGCGGGAGACGGCCGCCTTGACCTTTTCGCGGATGGCGCGAAGAACAACATACCAGATTGTCTTCTTCTTGAACAGCCCAATCACCTTGGGAGAGGCAGTGTGGCGGTGCAATGAGTGGTGATGGTGAGGTGCGCTGTCAAGAACGGCAAACGCAAGCAGACACATGCACACGCGTACATCAACATGCACATATGCACATATGAGCAGAGGAGATTGGTCACTCACGTTTCCGGTTGTTGTGTCTGAATCAAGGATGTACAGCACCCGTCCCTCCTGAAGAGAAAAAAAAACATGGTGGCATGCCGCGAATGAGCTACATGTGCGTGCGTACACATGCGCGCGCACATACGCCACACGCGTGTACATATATACACACGCACGCACATACACATACATGTGCACACACATGCACACACGCACACACCTTGCCAAAGGTACGGCGCACGTCTGCTGTGTGCTCGTTGAAGCGAATAAACGGAATAACCTGCGGTACGCGCAATGTAAAAAGGTGTGAAACAACAACATGTTGGCGGAGCAATCGATCGTATGCACACAGGAGCGTGCGCGCACGCAAAATTCGCACACACACACACACGCACACACTTGCAGACAGACAGACACACACACACACACGCACACACTTACAGACACACACACGCACGCACGCACACACTTACATACACACGCGCGCGCACAACACACACGCACACATGCACACGCGCACACACGCACGTCGTAGTTGACCGTCTCCATGCCAAGCCGCCGCATAATCTCAATGCCAACAAGTGGATGCACATCACACAACGACGACCTGCAAACACAGCCAGGAAACACGTGAGATGCGTGAAGGCGCAGTGCTGTACGTGCACATGCACATGTGATTTTCCCTTCAGAAGAAACATGTGGCAGCGACAACCATACCGCTGTCCGTCAAAGTGCTGCGCTGTGAATGCAAAGAAGAGCAGTCGCGGTGTGTCCCCCAGCAGCTCCACATGCTGGTATGACGGCTGCACGTGTTCACCGCATTGCGTGGACCAGCATTTCACAACCGTGAATAAGCGAAACGTGTCAGATTGAAGTGACAACACAACACAACGCTCGCACATGTAAGCGCACTCCACGACACACACACACACACACACACCTGCAAGAGCTCAAAGTTTGCTGTGAAGCCCGTGCAAGCGAGGAAGGACAGCAGTGCGGCGCCTTTGTCCTCAAGCTTCTCCAGACACTCGAAGATGACACGTGCAATCACGGCAGCAATCCTATCCCAAGATGCACACACACACACACACACACACACACACACACACACACACACACACACACACACACACACACACACACACACACACACACACACACGCACGCACGTGGTCAAAGGATGAGACATCGACGTGCTGTGCGCGTACGGGTACAACTCATGCATGTAATCTCCCCAACCGCCCTGCAAGCAAGTGTGCACTCACCGAAACTTGCTATCCGTGTACAACTCAATATCGCTGCGCTTGGTGACGCACATGTGTACGTTCTTTGAGCCGCACACCAACACATACTTGTTCTGTAACCAGCAAGCATGCGTATGTCAGAATGGCGCGAGCACATACAAGGGCATTCACACACGCACAAACACACACGCACAAACACACACGCACAAACACACGCGCATTCACACACACACACGCACACACACACACACGCACACACACACACACGCACACACACACACACACACGCACACAACACGCACACACACACACACACACGCACACACACAAACACACAAACACCCAAAGCACACAAAGCACACACCTGAATCCAACGGCAGGCGAGATGAGCGGCTTCACCGTTGGCCTTCTCCATGGAGAAGATGGTGTGCGCCTGCTCGATGGGAGCCAAGAAGTAGGACGTCCACGCAGCTTCCTGACCCGGTCCAGCAGGCATGTCATCATCATCTCCCAAACCACCCGTGAACTTGCGCAGCCCTTGCAGCACGGGAATCTGCAATGCCTTGCCCTTGTACTGCAGCTGCAAGATCGAATTGCCCCTGGCGATGCGATCCCGGATCTGCAAAACCACCAGCCAGAGTGAGATGCACGCGACCATGGAATGCACATTCACAACCACACACACACACACATACACACACACACACACACTGGCACTCACACTCACACTCACACTCACACTCACACACTCACACTCACACACGCACACCCACACTCACACACACACACTCTCTCACACACTGGCACTCACACTCACACACTCACACTCACACGCACACCCACACTCACTCACTCACACTTACACACTCACACACACACACGCACACACACACACTCACACTCACACACGCACATCTTTGTTGTGGAGAAAGACGAGGTCATCTGGGCCCCGGGACTTGACGCGAATGTCAACGACTGCCATGCTGGTGCAGTTCTTGGGCAGCAGTGAGCGGTGAACAGGGATCTCCTGAGCGCGCAAATCGCGATGTTGGCGGACGAACGCAAGCACGTCCTTGCACGTGGCAGTGTCTGCGAGCTCCTCGACGCCTGCGTCCTTGCAATGCATCTTGCAGTGCTCAATCAGCGCGTCCACAGCATCGGCCACGCGACCTGTGTCGTGCAGTGGCACATCGCCAACCATCTTCTTCACCAGCGCCGCCATTTTCTCAGACAGAAAGAAGCCGAATGCTTTCCAAACGCAAGCAAGCAACCAGGGAATCGGGCAATGCAGTACCCCACGCAGCAGGTGCCGGTGTGTGTCCTCTCTTCGGTCCAACACGAAGGTAAATAAATGAATGAGAGTGCCTCGCGGCTGGAGCTGGAGAACAGCCACAGATCAGTTGGTCAGCCGTGTAACAACAAACAACCAAGCAGCCATAACTGCGCGTTCGGTCATCTTGGGTGTGCTGACGTCAGCAGTTTGCTTGCTGGCTTTGTTTGTGTGGATTTCCGCCACTGCGCAATCCCCCTCCCCGCCAAGTCCTTCCAACCTTACGATTGCGATCACTCGATCACCCACCAACGAGAACGAAGAACAATGAGTGCCGAGAACCCAACAGAGCCGCTTGTCTTTGTGGCAAGGTTAGGCTGTGTGTACGTGTGTGTATGTGTGTGCGTTGTGTATATGTATGTGTATGTGTTTGAACCGCAACAGGGTACGTTAACGATCGCGTCCACGATCTAGTCGCGCACAGACAGACAGACAGACACACACACACACAGACACACACAGACAGACAGACAGACACACACACACACACACACACACGCTCACATGCTCACGCTCACATGCTCACACGCCCACACACACACACACACGTTGACATCATCTGTTTCCCCGTCAACATGGGTGTTGTGCACAGCTACAACAAGTTTGAGAACCTGGCACACACGCCGGACGGCACGGTGTCGGCGCATTCGCTCTACGTCTACCGGCTCGACACGCAAACAGGCCAGCTCGTGTTACTCACCGTCCTGGACGGTTTCGAGAATCCAGCCTTCCTGCGCTATCACCCCCAGGTGCGTCAACTGCCACAACACAGACCGCTACATTCGTATGACATTGAATGGGGTCATCCTGTGCCCTTTGGCGGTCTCTGTTGTGTCCAACATGAGCGTTCATTGGTTGCACTTTGCAACTGCCGCACACCCGGTTCTCACACAACACACACACACACACACACACACACACACACACAACGCACGCAGCTGAATGTGCTGTACTTCTGCACGGAAAGCATCGCGGACGATGGCGACATTGTGGCGTGCAAGGTGAACGCACGCACGGGTGCACTCAGCGTCTTGGGCAAGTGGTCCGCGCATGGCAAATCCACCTGCTACCTCACCATCGACACAGACCTCAAGCACATGCTCGGTTCGTTGTCTGCGTGCGTGCGTGCGTGCGTGCGTGTGTGTATCGATGGGCACTCTTCCTTCTCTTGCAAGGCGTCTTGAATCGTGTCATTCCGTTTAGCACCCTCTGTCCCCGTCTCTGCCCCAAACACACACACACACACACGCACACACACGCACACACACACGCACACACACACACACACACACTCACTCACTCACACACACACACACACACACACACACACACACACACGCGCGCGCGCACACACACACACACACACACACACACACACACACACACTTCACACACATGCACGTGTGGCGCTGCGATAGCGGTCAACTACTGGGACTCGACGCTGTCTGTGCTTCCGATGGAGACAAGCGGGGCCCTGTCTCCCGTCTCCTTCAAGCTTGTGCCGGACCGGAAGGTGGTTGCGAGCTCTCGAAGTGACCACCTCACCAACCGGCAGCTGGAGCCCCACAACCACGCCATTGTGCTTGATCCATACAACGGTACGGTGGCATATGTGCCAGACCTCGGCACGGATGTCATCAAGCAGTTTGTCTTTGATAAAGGCACAGGCAGTCTCATCCATGCGGGGCAGTTTCAGTCAGGATCCGGTTCGTCCCATGTGTGTGTGTGTGTGTGTGTGCTCTTTGTGTGTGTGTGTGTGTGTGTGTGTGTGCTCTTTGTGTGTGTGTGTGTGTGTCTGCCAGTGTCTAAAGGTGTTTGTGCGTGTGTGTGTGTGTCTGTGTATGTGTTTTTGAATGCGCGCGTGTGTGTGTCTGTGTAGATACTGATGTGTATAGTTGTGTGGTCGTACAGTACACATGGGCATATCGTTATGCGCGCCTCGTCACATCCCTCACACCACCTCTTACCGCCTCTGCATCTCTCGTCATTTCTCCCAACACCCCTTCCCCTCCACATATCTTACTCATACCTGTGCACATGCACAACAGACGAGCTGAAGCCCCATGGTCCCCGCTACTTGCAGTTCCACCCAAAGCTGCCTGTTGCGTACGTTGTGAACGAGCTGTCGTCAACCGTTGCGGTGTTCTCCTTCAACATCGAGCAAGCCGCACGCATCGCCGAGGAGCCAGAGAAGCCGACTCTCACCCTGCTCCAAACCATCAGCACCATCCCTTCAGGTACGTTGGGCGCCGTGTGTGTGTGTGTGTGTGTGTGTGTGTGTGTGTGTGTGTGTGTGTGTGTGTGTGTGTGTGTGTGTGTGTGTGTGTGTGTGTGTGTGTGTGCAGTTACTGTGCGCAGGTCTGCACACAGTTCTGTGCAGCTCTATTTGCCTGCCTACATGCATGCACACCTTCATGCATGGATGCCATCTCGTTACTCAGCACACTCGCCCGTGCGCTCTGCAATACATGTGCACTTTGTCTGTTCCAGCGTT